TGTCCGGTTTTCCTCCTACCTCTCTGAACATACAGTGTTGATAAGCTCAGTGCTTTATCCTTGGTCCCCTGTCTTCTCAGTGTTTGCATGCCTTTAGGGCATTTCCGCTCTGCAGCTTCAAACACTCTGCTTGCTGATGGCTCCCAGAGCCTTCTCTTGTTTCTCTCCCAAATTTCAGACCCTTAGGGCCACTGCCCAGTGGGTAACCTCTATTAACCTGCCTTCAATCTCACGTTGCATGCAAAGGGAATTATCATCTTCCCTTTCCCATCTCTATTCTGTTGCCCCTTCTCTGTTTCATCATTTAGTCATCCCAAACTACGCATTATCCTTTTCTTACCTTTCCGCCCCCTCCCATATCTAATACATGACTGAGCCCACAAACTCCTACCTAGTAAATGCTTTTGAGCTATTTGAGCTATAATCATAAGCAATTACTCTGTGCATCCTCACTGCCCCTTCTCTTGTCCAGTGCTTCAGCATCTTTACAGAGGGATTAACCTGCCAACCTCCTAACAGCTCCCTGCCCCTCCCCTACTCCTTTCTCAACAATGTGCCTACAGTAAGCTTTCTGGATGCAAAAATAACCAAACTATTTCACCACAACATCCTTTCCATTGCTGTTGATATGAAATGCCCACTCCACAACGCGTGATGAGACCCCCATGTGCCTGGGCTTCTGCTTTATTGTCCATCTTCAGTTCTCCTGCCTCCCCCTACCAGAGGACGTAGCCGTACTGAACTTCCGATTTCTGGAATATGCCATCATGTACATCCATTTCATCTTCCTTGCTGTTCCTGAAAGTGGTCAGTGGGTAAAGATTACTTACCTTGAAGGACTGCACTGAGATGTCACTTCACTCCCTGTCTTTTCTATTTTGCTGAATTCTGATGAAATGGCTCCCCTCATGTACCCTTTATAGCAGCACCCTATAGCTCCTGTGTCACATCACTTATGACAGTGTGTCAGAATGGCCCCTTCCGTCATCTGTACCACCTTCTACTCTGTGAGAACCGAATGTAGATACAACGCCTATTTCTTTATCAGCACAGGGCCTGACACAGAGTCCTCAGTTATTATTTATTAGTGAGAGAGTCAGTGAGTGTCCTAGTTTAGCAGATGCTTGCCTTCCTCAGTGGCTCATTGAATACATGTCTGAAGAGTAGATGAGTGAGCATATAACTTGAAACAGGTTGGACAATGGGAGAAATCCTAACAGAGATACGCAGGAGATACTTGGATATATGCAAGGTATTGGGCAGGTCCGGAAGTCGAGATTTGTGATGTATTACTCAAAGCAATCTTGTACAATGGAAAGGGAAGACACAATATCATGGGCAATGCCATATCTATCAATAGCAGTATGAGAAGCTTTATGAGAAGAGTCTGAGGTGGAATGGACGTAGGAGAATGAGGCTGCTGTGGTGGAAGTCAAGGAGGGAACAATGGAGAATTGTATGGAGTACTGGTGGGGTTAGGTAGCCTGTATTTTTGAAGGATGAAAGCAGAACTATTTGTTCAATAAGAAAGCACAGTTGGATCACAAATAGAGTGTTAATGTTAATGATTTATTCGATATTTTTATGTTTTAGATCTGAAACCCTTCAGATGATTCTGAGTTAGAGGCATTTATTCATCATGTAGACTATGTACCAATGAGCATAGGATATACAAATTCTGAAATCCCTGGGGAAATTGAACATAATTCTTCTGTATTAAATTAAGTGAAACAATCATATGTAGCTTCTGAACTAGGAATTCAACAATCTCCAAACACTTATTGCTGTTTTTTTTAACTTTAAAGAGATAATTTAAATGACCATGAAGAAATTAATCTTGCTACATTTATCCAAACTGAAATACAGTGATCCACAGAGCAAGTAGTACAATCCAGTAACTTGTGTGTATTTAAATTTCAACTTAAATACATTTTCTACTAGTCAAATAGTGTTTTCTTTTACAGACACACACACACACACACACACCACACCAGTCATCTTAACCTCTGATAGTTCTGGTGATCACAGTAGATTTCTTTTCTGTGGGTCAGTTACCTGTGGTCAATCACAGAAGAATAAATACAAGAGAATTCCATTTCAATAAATACCACAAACAGATGAAACTAAGCAATCTATTATTTAGGGATACTTCCATATGTAAGAGCTAAGCATGTAAAGAAAACATCATCATGATTAGCCCAAAATCCATGATAGGGATCCACTCTAGAAACTAGGGCGATACAGTGACATACTTAAAAGTTGAGGGCCAGCTGAGTGGCTCTGTTGGTTAAGAGCTCACTCAAGAGTGCGAGCTCTGAGCAACAGCGGTTTGATTCCGCTGCCACTGAGCTGCCAACAGGTGGCAGGATGGCTCAGCTAAAAAAAAAAAATGTTGAGTGTACTGGAATTTATGTTAGTATTGCTTTTTCAGTGATACACATACATTTTTATGTACTTTTTTTAAAAAAAGATTTTATTGGGGAATTGGCGGGGGGAACAGCATTGGGGAATCGGGGAAGGGGAACATACAAGTTGCTGTCCTTTTGTTCTTCAGTCTAGTTGTGGAGGACGTCGCTTCACTGGCCCAAGTTGGTATTGTGATCATTGCGCTCTTCCCAGGTGAGGCAGTCGCTCGCAGGCCATTGGACGGCTGCTCACGGCTGCTCATGATGGCTGCCCGCCACTCATGGTAGTTTACGGCAGCCCATTGCAGCAGGGGCTGCAGCCTACACTGTTGCCAGTGACTCACGGCAGCCCAAGTCAACCTGTTGTTCACCATCTTAGCTGTAGAGGGCCCAGCATCACTGGCCCTCGTGTGGGATCTGAACTGGGGCCCTGCTGCTCAGAGCTGGTGCTCCAAAGCCAACTCTTAACCAACGCATCACTCGGCCAGCCCTATGTACCTTTTATATATGCTGTATTTTACAATAAAATTTTTAAAATATATTAATGTCTCATCAAGTTGCTTAATTCTTATAATTTAAGATTAAATTTTTTCTAACTCTCCCGTGTGACTTTAGGTTCATATTGTCCATGGTGCTGTAATGGGTGTACAGTACCCATAAGTGACACTTTTATGGATTGCTGAATTAAAACAAAACGCATCATAACATATAATTTCTCCCAGAAGATGCCCTGCTATAAATCTGAAAGGTGTTAAGTACAGATTTTCAAATCCTTAGTGGTTTCTCTCTCATTTGATTAAATCATTTTTGGTTTGAATGTATTAATTGCTGAAATCATTTAAAATGTCAGTCACTTTTTTAAAAAAGAACTGGAAACAGAGCATGTCAGAAACATTTAGTGTAGTAGTACGTTATGCAGATGCATTCTCCTTTCCCCGACTTCAGTGCCCTGTGAGGCCTCAACTGTGTATTATTTACTGATGAATTGTCAGTATCCAGCATGGTGTTTCCTATTTCAATTATCTTTAATGTTTCAGGCAAACCTGGTGAAACTTCTTTTGATGCATCAGGCAAATCCAAACCTTCTGAACTGCAATGAAGAGAAGGCCTCAGGTAGGTTATGAGTGTTCTGGGATCCCTGAGCAGTCACTGTTTCCTTCCCATCGTGTGTATGTTTTTCATCTATCACGAGCATAGCTGGAAAATGAGTTAGCCTCCCCAGAGAAGCTCTGTGAAAACCACCCCAGTTCAAGTGTGATTCACAAACTCGTATGTACTGCTCCATTACAAGAGGATATTAAACAGCAGTTAAGTTTATAGGGTGCTGTGTACTTCATTGCAATTTGCTTTTCAGGCTTTACACTTCTAGGGTAGTGATTCCTGCAGTGATACTTACTTTAAAATATGCTTTTGTTATTTAAATAGTTTCTCATCACACCAAATGCATACTTATTCATTAGGGTATTTTCGAAACAATAATTGTATTGTTTCCTGCACAGATATTTATATTGCAAGAAATAGGACTATTATTTTAAAGTTAATTTAAAAGTTTGAAAAGATTGGCTTAATGTTACTTATTTTTAATATATATTTTTTTTTAGTTTCTAGAGGTGTTTTTTACTAATGTTCTTTTATAAATTCATATAGTTATTTTAAAAAAGGATTCCATATTGCCTTTTTAGCTTTGGAAAAATTTGACAACAAAGTTACTACGCCTGTTATTTTTATATATTAAAAATGAAAGAATTCTAAATAAAGAAAAAAGTCTAGCATAAGTAACAAAATAATATGAAAAATTTAAGGTAGTATTTGATCTGAATAACTTACGAGTATATCTACTTATTCTTCTTGTTGCTATAATTCCACTCACCTAAAAGCACTTTATGCTTGAGATTTCTTATTTTATGTACTTACAGGACTATGATTACCTGTTCACCAGTTTAAGAGAGGATGAAAGATTTGCTCTATTTCTTATTTTATTGGAATCAAGTATTATTGTTTAATATTTATTCATTTTTTCTGCTAAAATAAACTGAAGATTTAACAAACAGAACTATAAGATAGCTTAATAGTCTTAAACTTTAGAATCAGGCCAATATTGATAGTGTAGTATAGTACTCTTAATATTAACTATAATAACATGTCTAAATATTAAAGGAGTAAATAGAAATTTGTAGCTTTTCCTTTTTTTTTGTTTTTCTCAAAAATATATTTATTGTGAAATATATGTCACATCCTCTATTAACTCTACTTAGGTCTAATTGATCACATTCATACTTGATCATGTTCAAGTTCATATCCCTGGCTTCTTTCCCAGAGAAGGGAGAATATGATTGATTCTGCATAGACTTCCATCTGTCACACCTGAATCTTTTAGGTCTAGTGTCAACTGTGCCAAAGTGAACATGCAAGGCAATTGACAGTCCTAGAGCACCAGGAAATGACTAAACTTCTGGTCTACACTTAACCCTGGTTACCACATGCCTAGCATATGGTGACTCTGTTAGATAATTTCGCCCATATTGGTCATGCCAGGTCTGCCATCAATGTAATCCATTTTCTGTGCCATGTTGATCACCAGACACACAGCGATGGGACCATGGTAGACTCTCAGTAAACATTTGTTAATTGAATGAAAATACTCTCTCACACACGAGGGATGAAAAGCTATAATGTAGTGAGAGGTTTCAAGTAAATGCAGGATGTCCCAACATCTTATCCAACAGAAAAAAAATGAACCAGACAAAAAAATAGTGCAGAGAACAGTAAACTAGACACCCGTAGTATGACTGAGCAAATAAAAGTCATCACAGTATTATAGTATATTCTTGCTAATTGGGGTATCTTGAATTTGGAGTGAACCCATTAAAATTTTATCTGGGGGATAAAACCAGTTTGGGGTGTAGCATTTAGGTGGGTCAGAAATAATCGGCTGAGGTGAGGAAGCTGAGCTATCTCCAACTCATTACATTGTTATGATTTAACCTAAATCAAATGATGATAAAATCCTGGCACATCTTCTCGTGGTAGCTGAATTATGGCATCCAGCCCATAAGGCCACATTACTCAAATGTATGGACATAGGCGGTCATGCAGATTAATTATGAGGGTTGAAAAGGAGAAGTTGCTTTCATTAGGTTTGTAATTATTATTAATATGAGTTTTTCTTCAGGATTTATCGATTTTCAGTTTTAGTTGTTAATAAGTGTAAATTTGATTAATGAACATCTATATTGCTACTCAAATACATCCAGATGCCACTGTTAACATGCAGTGTATAAGAAAATAAAATTATATTTCAGATTTAAAAAATCAGATCATGCAGAGAAGCTAGACCCACTGTTTTAATAACATCCTGAGTATCTATTTGTCCATCTACCTGTTTAGTAGAATATTTTGGGATGCCCACTGTATGTTTTATAATAGCCCAGTCATTCAGAAGGTATAACTATTTTCATCATTTTATTTCACATTCACCAAGGTGAAGGAAGAGGTTTTACTAAGAATAAAATGACATTAAGTTCTCTCAAGCTTAGCTTCTCAATGATTTTATATTTTATACATCACCGCTCAGTGAAAATTATTTTTATATTTTTTCATTTAATTTCCAATTAAATATGTCACTGATGTAAAACACATTAGTCCTTTTAAATGGCAGTGCTGCAATTTTATTTCTATCATAAACTTTTACTTTTTTTGTTTTGCCACATATGTTCATAAATTTTAGCATTTTAGCATATGACAACTATTGAAAGTAAATAGTGTCCTGTGATTTCACCACCCACGCTTTCTGAGTTTCTTACTGTTTCATGTAGATATTGCTGCATCTGAATTTATTGAGGAGATGCTGCTGAAAGCCGAAATTGTCTGGAAAGAAAAAATGAAAGAGCCTTTAACTGTGCCTACCTTAGCACAAGAGGAACCGTATGAAGAGATCATTCATGACCTTCCAGCACTTTCCAGTAAGCTGTAAGTGCCTTGTTTCTAGAATGATAAAGTCATAGACCTGGTTCGTTGATAAGTTCATTATTCTCATTTGTCTTCCTCTCTAATCACCAGGCAGCCGTTTTACAGTCAATATTAAGTCCGTCTCTAAACTAAGTTAGAAAATTGAAGCTACATATCAATACATTTATCACAAAATACTTGTTGACAATTAGTGTAGCCTGCTTTTATGAAAGCCCTTTGGTTTTTTAAAAACATTACTATTTCAGATTTGTCACCATGAAATCAAGGATAATATTTAAACACATTCCATGTTTTTCGCTAAACTGAAATGTAAGGTTTCCAATGACTATCATAATGGCTAAATTTCCTGAAGTAGAAAATACAAATATTAATTTTTCCCTCTAAACTATAAAACGGATGTATTCTTATTGTCTAAAGTATCCTAAATAATAACACATACCACAAGGAGGATAACCCTTGAAAACATACTAAGTGAATGAAGCAAGATACGAAAGTCCACATGTGGTACACTTCCATTAATACAAAATCTCTAGAATTTGCAAATCCATAGAAACAGAAAGTCTATTAGTGTTTTCCCAGAGTGGGCAGAGGGGGTAATGGGGAGTGACTCTTGATGAACATGGGCCTTTGGGGGATAATGGGCATGCTCTGAAAGTAGATGTGATAGTTATACACATTTGTAAACATGCTAAAAAGCTCTGAATCGTACACTTGAGAAGTGTGAGTTTTGTGCTATGTGAATTATATCTCAAAATAAATTGATATATATGTAGAAAAAAAGATAAAATATATTTCCTGTTGAAAGCAAAAATCTTCTATTTATAAGCAGTGAGACCTTGAGGAAGGTATCTCCTTTCTATGAACACGTTTATTTTCTGGAAATGGAGTTAACGTCTAATACTGGAATATTTGAGAGCACCCTGAACCAATAACACTATCTGGGCTCTAGACAATCTGAGAAATAATCAAAGAGAAAAGATGGGGCCCAAATTACACTTGATCAGCGATAAAAGATACTATCGTAGGACATAACTGAATGTGGCAGCTGAAAGGGATTATAGGTATATCCCGTTATCAGGCAGCTTTACCAGCTAGGCACCTACAAACCAGATCAGGTCTCCCAAGTGAGAGGCTCCCCAGAGGAGGCTACAGTGCATAGGAAGAGGGAAAGCCGTGCTCTCCGCAGGGATGCTTGCTCTAAGAAAAAGGAGCGAGTGAGACCCTCTTCCCAGATTCATCTGTCAGACAATTCCTTCTGATCCCAGGTATCATGATAAATAAGTGAGATCAAAGGAGGAAAATCTTATTTCAGAGCCTGTCCCATCACAGGCATTTAAAAATACTTTTAATTTAAAATTAATCTAGGTGATTCAGAGGCTAAAGTCATGTGTGATGTACTGACCTCTGCTTAATAAAGAGATATATTCATTATTGGATTGGATTTTTCAACTGTGTTGTAAAGAAGCTTGATTTTTATGTCAGGCACTATGCTAAGAGTCTTTGTGGGTTATCTTATTCCTTCTTCAGAGCCCTATTAAGGTTCTCTTATTTTCCCAAGATCACAGAGCTGGGAAATGACAGGTGAAGATTTATAGCCCAGCAATCAGACCCCATATCATTCTCATCTACACCACATTATCTGTCTCTTCTTTTCACAGGTGAAAGAAAAAACAAAAATGGTATCACATTTATGTAGGAAAAAAAGGAAAAAAGGCATAGAAACAAAAGTTGGAGTCAAGTCAGGAAGTAATTAATTAATAAGACACATTCCAAGTTACCTAAAATGAATGGTTAGAATATTTTGACCTTGCTCTTTACGTTATTATATTACTGGTATCACTTTGAACAAGAGGAGTAATACAAATATTTGCTATGGAAGAATTTACTTTCCAGGTGTTGATATCAAAATCAACACCCAATATGTGCCATTTTACTTTTCAAATTATGTTATGAGCTTCCAAGTAAAGAGATGTTAAAGTGTAAGCAGAATTAAAGTTTTAGTTAAAACCAAATTCTTTCATAACAAGTCATTTTTAATAAATGTTAGCTTATCTGTGGGTCTATAGTTTTGTTTTGTTTTCTCCTTTATTGAAAAATGAAACAAAAACAACTAATTTTCCATGGAATGTTTTTTTATCGTTTTTGTATTATTGATTGAACAACAGGTTTTAAACCGATTAATCAATGGCTTATTTGTTCTACACAATTAAATATTATTGTTTAAATTACATTTTTCTCTTATTGACTCAGAGCTTTGAAATTTTGAAATAAGTTTTATATTGAATTTTAGCCTGGTTTTTCCTTGTAGCCTACTGTTTTCTTCAGAGATAGAATTTAAAATTAACTCAAAGAACAACTTAATCATAATGTTTTCTCTTTAGCTCTGAAAAAAATAACAAGTAGATTTAATTAGTTTAAGAAAAACAGCTAAGTGTATTTGTAACTTATAATTCATTATTTTGACACATTTTATCTGGTTTTCATTGTCTTTATTTTTTATATACAACTTCTAAATTTTTAGTATTTATATAAACTTACTTTTATTCAAGAATATAGACTTTTGTCTGTGGAACTGGCTGTCTTAGGTTGGGGATTGAATTTGCCACACCTTTTTTTCTTTATTTTCTTTATAATGTTATAAATAAATGTGAATCAGGAGCAAACAGACATGATGAAATAACAACTAGGCATTATGTCTTAATGCAGAAAAGCTTACTTTCTATAATCTACTCTTTCAGGCCTTGTTTTAGTATGAGAAGGAAAAATATAGACATTGAAAATTTCTCCATAAATAAACTCACAAACGTTATAAAGATTAAAACATTCTCTAAAGCTGATAAATACGTGTATTTCTGAGAAGAAAACAATGCTTGTTGATTTTAGTGTATTTTGATATCACAATACTGATTGATATGGACAAGAAATTTATTGAGAGCTGTTGGAACATTTTTACAACATGCCATTCATGTGATAGAGAACATATATGCAGTGAATTAGAGAATTTACGTGATTAACAGGGAATATATATCAATTTTTTTTTTAAATCTCTCTACTTCATTTACAAAGCAGCATTTCTTCACAAACCAGTCATTTGAGGGTCTGTGGTTTAGACAGGGTGTTTGGAGAGGGTTTGTGCCTTCTTTTTCTCTCCCCTCCTGAACATTACTGCAATTTTCTGCAAACTCTTCCTTTTGCTCTGTTCCCTGCATTAAAGTGAGCAAATGCTATTGTTCTGTGAAAATCCAAGTTTCACTCATTTAAGTCAAGTGAGTTCTCAAATTAATTTCAAACGTGAAGCCTGGTCTTCACCTGTATCCAGAAGTCTCTTAACTTTACAGAGGTGAAGGAGGAATGAAAACAGAACAAAACAAAAATCTAGGAAGAAGGGGAAAAAGCAAGCAGAGACTGAAACACTGGTCAGTCTTCCTCTGCTCCAGTCAAGAGCAAGCATTCTACTGCAGCCCATTGCTCCTTTAATTTCATTATTTTTCTTAAGAAAGAACAGTGTATGTTCATTGGTATGAGCAGTATAAAAATAGGAAGAACTTAAGAAGCCTTCTCCTCTTCTCTGTATAATCGATCATTTTTCTTCAATAAATCTTTCCTTCCCCACCTTTTCTCTCTAGCCCTCATTCTGAAGATTTATCATGTATTACCTCATCTGAATTATGTTTGCCCATCTTTTTCATCAATTTTTACCCCAACTTTCTATTGCTTTGCATTGTAAAGTAGACTTGTCGTTTTATTATTGTTACTATTTTTTTTTTACATTTTCCTGAATTTTGCTAAAATTTTAAGAAAGAATTCTGTGGTTTACTCTTTCTAATATTGCAGTGTACAAGTCAAATGTCCTTTCCACTGTCAATTTACATTCACTTTTCTGTGAGCATTTTGTGTGATGAATCATGATTTAGTCAGGATAAGAATATCGCTTCCACTATCCCCTGCTGTTAGTAGTAAGTGCCTTTCTTTATTTCGATATTTAATCAATAGGAAATACCTACATTATTGGGTTAGCCCATGTTTCATGTTTTCTAAGGTATCTTTCATGCAGTGAACTTTATTAGGTCTTGTCGTCTGACTTTCAAGTTCATGTCTCCAAATGAACTGGTTAGATTGAACTCCAAAGGTCCTACTTATTGTAATAGTCTCTATCTGTAAAGCTTTTAGACTTCCTCTCTCTGCTCTAAATTTGCAACAGCTATTCTCATACTTGACTGCCATTCTCTGCCGCCTTCTTTCCTGTGGACAGGATGCCCCCTCTGTGCTGTCTTTCCATCCTTAGATGTATCTGAGTGCCTCATTTACTCTAATTGCTGCTAAGAAACCAGCTGCTGCTGAATACCCCCTTTGGTGTGTGAACATGGAGATGCTCTCCTAGGGTTTTAATCACTGGGAATTTTTGATGTGCGCCCATTTTTGTTTCTAATATTCTATTCCATGGATCTCTTGAGTTAGAACCCCCGAAGAGTTTGCATAATGCCTAAGTTGAGTAGTTTACTAAACAATTGTGGGTTTTCATTTATTAGTAATAACAGTGATGATCACTTATAATAACAACAGTGAAATCTATTTGTTGGGCAGTTACAAGGTGTCAGGACTTTTGCAGAGTTTACACGCTTAACTTCATTTCATCAACTTCATTTCATTGTCAAAACAACACTCTGCATTCAGGACCCTCCCAGGCCTCACCCTGTGGATCTATTTCTTTGGCTGGTCCTGATTTGTATCCTCTGTAATAAAACTGCAATAGTAGCAAGTACAGTGTTTCCCTAAGTTCTGTGAGTTGTTCTAGTGAATTATCTAACTTGAGGGGGGATATGGGAACCCTCGCATTTGTAGCTAGTTGAACAGAAGTAGGGGTGGCTTGGAGACTCCCAAACCTATGGCTGGAGTCTGAAGTGGGGGGCAGCTTTGTGGGAGACGATGGCTTTAACCTGTGAGGTTGGTGCTGACACTAGGTGGTCAGCCTTAGAATTGCACTGCAGTACATGCCACAG